ACTTCCGAATACACTGCTGTTCCTGTCAGCTCCCATCTTCGTGCTCGACTCTACGAACGTTAACGAAGACGTGCAAGAGAATTTTGTGTGGAAAAGCAAAAGAATCACGAAACGCATATCTCAGAGAGGAATGTGTTAATCACGACGTCACATGGACGAGTTTGCAGTGAGAACAGGTGTAGCGCTGTGGTCGGTAAACTTGCTGATGTGTTGCAAGGCATAATGAGACCTGACTGAGAAGGCCGTTGACTGTCGCTGGCCTCACATGCGATGTACTCACGCGATTCATGAAGGCCAGTCGGTGTGCTGGAATGACCTACATTGGCGTAGGTTGTGCATGTCACGCAGGTCACGGGGCACGCAGGAGAGCAGGGCGTGCACGTGAGCACATTGTTGGTTGGATGAGGAGTTGTATTGGGAGCTTGGGAATACGGTTTGGGTTGGCGACTGAAGGGATGGTGGGTTGTGAGCAGCGGAGATCTCGCTTGCATTGGTGGGGAACACAGTGACTACTGTCCACACGCCAGCCACATCTGATGCACTGAGGCGGCGATGTCTCGACTCCAGCCCCACCAGCACCGCCGCCACCACCCCCACCACCACCATCGGCATCATCGTCTCAACATTTTTGCCATACTGGCAAGCGAAACTCTTTCGAGTGGTTAGTCTGACTGCTTTGTCTGGCGATACTACTCATCCACCACACCACACGTGCGTGTCGGCGGAGGTGGTGGTGGAGGTGAGCAGTCAGTGGGACGTCGTACACTATAGATTTCTTGGTGGAACGTTACAATCCGACGTATGGAAATTGTGGTCTACATGGAACGCGTCTCGATATACGGCGATACGGTATCAGTAACCATTATTCCAACCACTAAGTACTACTGTTTGTATACTTGTACTAATTTCATTTCATTTTACAAGCTACTAATCAGAACACCTCTCGAAATTCCTCATTAACATCATCTTGTGGGCAGTGGTTTAACTTGCGTTGGTAGTGAAACGGGTGTGGCAGTTTGAGAAGGCAAAACGGGTTGTGTGTATTTTCTTGGCTGATGCCACGTGGGGCAAGTTTTTTTAACGACGAAGACATCCCAGTGGATTCGGAAGGTGGCAGAAGGATGGAGCGATCGCTGGGACATTCGATAGACGATGTTCTCTTGGGAGATCCTGGCAGTACGCGGTGCTGCCTTTATTTGTTAGATGATAAGAACGCCTTATAAAATCAGCGTGAGTTGTTTAATCTGCAAGGCAATGGCTTTCTCCAGGTGCGTTGTCGTCGTGGTTTTGATAACGGTCGTTGTGGTGGTCACCACTTCCTTCTAATGA